AAAGAAAATCTTGCTGTACTTGCTATAAATGTCAGGGAAGTTTGGCCTTTCATGACACTTCAGACCTTTGCCTGTTGCATGTGAGTATCTTGCTGCATTTGTCAGCACGCAAAAGGAAGGTGCTTTTCTTCACTGTTGCGTACTACTGAAAAACATTTCCAAATATCACATTTTCCTTTGGTTGGTTTTGTAGTTTTGTGTGATCCTATCTCCCTCTGGATTGCAGATCTCTATCCCTAATCCCTCAGGTGAATTTTCAATTGTTTTACTTTACTACTGTAACATCCACATGAGTCGGCCACCAGAGAGCATCGTTATCTTGCTACTAATCACAGCCAGATTCAAACATGAGCCCCATTAAAGGGATAGTTCACCCAAAAATGAAAATGTGATGTTTATCTGCTTACCCCCAGGGCATCCAAGATGTAGGTGACTTTGTTTCTTCAGTAGAACACAAATGATGATTTTTAACTCCAGCCGTTGCAGTCTATCAGTCGTATAATGCACGGCAATGGTAGCAAAATCTATGAGAGTAAAAAAAACATGCACAGACAAATCCAAATTAAACCCTGCGGCTCGTGACGACACATTGATGTCCTAAGACACGAAACAATCGGTTTGTGCCAGAAATCGAACAGTATTTATATAATTTTTTACCTCTAATACACCACTATGTCCAGCTGCTTTGAGCGTGCGCACGGCATCCGGTGCGTGAGGTGTGTACGCGCTCTGGCGTAGTTTACGTTAATGGGTGTGTTGATATCCAGCCGAAGAGCAATCAACCATAACTACAGGCGAGCAGGCTCAGAAGTTGGGAATACGTGGAAAGTCACCACTCCCGAATGAGTTCGCGTGAGAGAACGTAATCTTTTAGTTTTAAGTCGGTTTGAATAATCCGGATAAGCGCAAGTAAGTACCATTTTGATTAGCCGTCATACCTACAATGACTGTGCACTGCGTAAACAATGAGTGACGTATACGCGCGAGAGATCACTTCCGGCGCTTGCGTAAACTACGCCAGAGCGCGTACACACCTCACGCACCGGATGCCGTGCGCGCACTTAAAGAAGTTGGACATAGTGGTGTATTAGAGGTAAAAAATTATATAAATACTGTTTGGTTTCTGGCACAAACCGATCGTTTCGTGTCTTAGGACATCAATGTGTCGTCACGAGCCGCAGGGTTTAATTTGGATTTGTCTGTGCATGTTTTTTTTACTCTGATAGATTTTGTTACCATTGCCATGCATTATACGACTGATCGACTGCAACAGCTGGAGTTAAAAATCATCATTTGTGTTCTACTGAAGAAACAAAGTCACCTACATCTTGGATGCCATGGGGGTAAGCAGATAAACATCACATTTTCATTTTTGGGTGAACTATCCCTTTACTCTGTGAGAAATAATGTCAGATTTTTTTTTTCCCTTGGCAGCACCAGAAGTATTTTATCCATTCGGCTCAGCAGCTGGCGACACAATAAATGCAGCTGTTGAAGATGGAAGCTCTTCTATTATTCAGCTGTTGAGTCCATTTCTGTTCTTTGGCCGCACATACCAGCAGATTTATGTAAGAATTTGACTCCATCTTGATTCTGAGTCTAAATGTGAGTGGTGAATGCTTTATAAACTCACCTGTGATCAGTGATTTTGACAGTATTTCTCATGTTGCAGGTTAATAATAATGGACACCTCACATTCAACCAGCCTTCATTGCAGAGTGTTCCAGACAACTTTCCTTCTTATGAAAGCCAAGATATAATTGCTGGTCTTTGGACTAATCTTGACAACCGCCTGAAAGGTGTTGTTTCATATCGTCAGTACACCAGTGGAAATGTTCTCACACGCGCCTCTCAGGATATAAACACACATTTCCCAAATCTGAACTTCAACGCTTCTTGGGTGTTTGTTGCAACATGGAATAAAGTTGCTTACTTCAACTTAACCAACACAGTAAGCTTGATGTTCTTCTGAAATGTGAATGTTTTCACTTTGTTCATGATTCATTTTCTGAATACTAGGCCAAATGAATACCGTAGACCATAAAGACAGTAACCAAGAATACAATAATAGATTGCTAAGCTTAAAGTGATTGTCTTTCAATTTTTGCAGGAAACATCGTTTCAAGTGGTTTTAATTTCAGGCCATAATTTGACATTTATTCTGATGAATTATGGTGACATTGCTGTAACTGAACATCCAGTGCAGGTAAAAGAAACTTGTTTTCTGTATTGAGAACAAAATGTTACTATTCACTACTGTATAAATGTCTATGTCCTCTATAAATACTGTTTATATGAATAATGTTTTTACACTATTTCAGGCTGGTTATGACGCAGTAGACTCCACACACTACTTTGTGATTCCCGAATCAATCAATGGGAGCTTCATCTCAAACCTCAGGAACTGCAGTAATGTCGATGTTCCCGGTCGATGGGTCTTCAGGGTGGACAGTGGACCAAGAAACAGCATCTTGAAAAGTCTTATCTATACATAACGTTTTGATAAATTTCATATAATCCCATATAGTGTTTGTATGATTAGTGTCAACAAATACACATGAGTTTTTAGATGTCTGTGTGTTTTTCCCTTTAGACAATGTCGTTGGATTTCGAGTGAGACTTTCCTCATTTTTAGACCTGACACAGAGTGGCAGCACTGAAATATTTTTACAGCAAGTACGTCACACTTACTACGAATATTTAAACAGAATACGGTTCAAATAGACCACATGGGGAAATTTGTTCTGCTTGTCCATCTGTGCTTCAGATAAAGCAGGAGCTGGTCAAGTACGGTCTGCCAAACAGCATCGAACTGAAGTTAAGAAAACTGCAAAAGACAAAGCCGTAATTTCCTTCTCCTTCAGGAAAAGAAGTAAAACCAGTTCGTTTAGCATTTGACAACAAATATCCCTGACGACTGATGATGTAAAAGCTTCAGTTTTTCATTAAGGGGATTTACAGAGGATTCAAACCAGCATAAAAGTATCATAGAAGAGGTCCATTAGATCCTCCTTTTTTTCTTTGCATATCAATCATGTTGTGTGTGTCAAATGTCAGCTGCTGAAATTTAAACTTTACTGTAAGTAAAACTCTTTGTCTCATTCACCTTCATTAGAACCATAACTTATAAGGATACAATATTTAAATTGAATAATGTACAGTATAATTTGAATGCATCATACATCACTTTGAATTAAAGAATCTGCCAAATGCGTAAATGTCAAATTCTATCTCATTTTTAATATGGGCATCTAAATTTGTGGCTTAATAAAAATAATATTGTTTGACTATAAGTCAAGTCAAAGTCTATACACAGTTTTTTTTTTCAAAGCAGCTTCACAGTAATAAACAGGAAAATAGCAGAATCAGTGATGGAAACTTGTGCTGTATATCAGCTCTAACAAGACAGTATAGTGTCATTGTTCAGCTCAATTCAGTTTAGTGTTGATTTAGTTCAATATGTGTAAAGTTCATAAATAATGAAGCAAGTTCAGCTATAAGCAGTATGGTTATTTGTCTTTTAAGTGTATTTTTATTTTGCAAATTATCTGCCAATGGGGAAAGAAAAATAATCTTGTTTCCATTTGCATTAAGATTATTTTTCTTGTTTTTAAGTAAAATGCACTTAATTTAGATTACAAAATACTCACTAAGGAAAGCATTTTTGCAGCGTGAATGAATGAATGAGGTATTTAAAGGGATAGTTCAAGGTAAACTATCCCTTTAAACATCGCTTGCGCTTTAAAAAGAGGGAGGAGACTGAAAAAAAACTCTGGGTTTACCAAAGAAAACCTGCTCTCGACCAGGGGTGCGTTTCCCAAAAGCATCGTTAGCTAACTATGGTGGTTCGTTCCATTGAGCTCTATTGGTAACGACGGAACTTGCGACCATAGCTGCTTTTGGGAAACGCACCCCAGGTTAGGTTCACAGTGTAAGTTACCATGGTAACTGACTCTGAGTATAAGTTACCTCTCTTTCAAAAGCCTCCCATTCTGAAAGGGAAAACCCAGAGTTTCCCTCATTTCAGGACATACTCAGAGTTTTCACTTAACCTCCTTTCTGAAACGGGCCTCTGTTGAGGTATGGGCGTGTTTGTTTGGTGCTTTCATATATCAACAGAGTTTGGCAAAATTCACTTACTGCACCTTTAAGTAGGGGGCGATAACGAGACACACACCTGAGGCCCGTTTCAGAAAGGAGCATTTGACTCCCTAACCCTAACCCTAATCATGCAGACACTGTAGATGAGGCTGCATTAATTCGTAGGGAGCAGGGACGCAGGAAGTAGGGGTGCTGAGGGGGCTGCAGCACCCCCTGTTTTCACATGGTTGCAAATGCAATGCCAAGTTTGTTCATTTAAATTTATTCAGTTTTAGCATTTAATAATTTATTTGTAATGATCTCTGAAATGTAAATTGTAAGTGGCAGAGGTGGGGGCAAGTCACACATGTTCAAGTCTCAAGCAAGTCTCAAGTCACAGTACAAACAAATCAAGCAAGTCAAGTCAGTGGCTCACCTCAAGCAAGTCAAGTCGAGTCCTGCTAAGGATCAAGTCTAGTCAGAGTATCAAACAGGAACAAATATTTTTTTGCCACACGACCTTATTAATTTTCCCTCAGAAATTAACTTAATTATACATTTTAAATAATAATGTTTTAAATATAACATTTTGAATATAGGCAAAATACTACTTTGTATACCGCTAAAGTCTGTAATTGAGAAAATATTGATAAAAATACAAGATAAAAATATGTATCTCATATTTATGTTATATTGAGTTTGACCATCCTAAGAGACAGATAATATTTAACAGATGTTGGAAAATTATTTTGCACTAAATATATCCAGCGAAGACTGGGATTCAGTCTGGGAGCACGCTAAATAATATGCAATGCTGACTACAAATCACTCCTTATAGCAGAAATAAAATGGACCCAAAATTTTCATCGGATATAGACACCCTATTTGGATTGTTTCTTTCACTTTGCATGACATTGTTCCATGCCTACATTGTTCTTGAAAACTATTGTCATGGCTCAAAACAAGAAGCCTATTGCTGTTAATGTACATGTATCTTCCCCTGTAACTTATTGATTTCTTTGATTTTATAATAAGAACTAAATTGACAGCTATGCATTTAAGGCTATGATAGGCCTACTCTATGGCATTAATGCTGCCAGTAAGTGGTGGCAAATCACTGCTTTATCACAGAAGTGTTCATTGAACTGATTCATTCTAAACAGTTGATTCGTTCATGAACAAGCAAGAATGGACCACTGAATCACTCAACCGGTTCCTTCAAATCCCTGGATTCGTTCAGTATTGCTTAGAGACGCGCGTAACTCTTAAACTGTGGGCTGAACGGAACTGGCAGCCGCTCTGAAAATATTACTAAATATTGTATGTTATAAATATAAAAACTCATACTAGGGCCATTTTGACAACATATCTTGGATTTTGGGTGCAAGAGAAACATCACTAATCGATAAAACACTGTAGTTTCCGTGGTACAATTCCATATATTGATTTACAAAGAGGGATGCTTAACACTAAAGCACTGTTGAGAGGCAAACGCCAGTGAATTTAAAGTTTGACATCGTTAATTAATTACAAACATGAGATTAATCATTTATAATCACTTTAATTTAATGACAGACTTAAGCTGAATTTTAAGACCAATGCTGTTTTCAACGATCGAACAAGCTTACATACCTTTCCTTTTTGAAGTGCCGACGTCCTGGCTTTGTAAATGCATACAGCAAATGCATATAGTTTCGAAGTGTTTATCCAAACATCTCGGGAGATTCTCTTGCTCCCTGTATTTGGCGCGCTGTGTTCCTGACTGTGCTCGTGCAGTGTCATGAACTGCGCAGATTCGGATCACTTCTGCCACTGGTTCAGTGGCTTGCGTTTTGTTTTCCAAATTATGTCGCAATGATTTATAATAATAATTAGTTGTTATAAAGTCACTTCCTGCCGAGTCATGAAGGTCAAATCAAGTCAAGTCTCAAGTCACTGGATCTCAAGTCCAAGTCAAGTCATTTTCTTTATTTAGTCAAGCAAGTCACAAGTCCTTAAATTTGCGACTCAAGTCAGACTCGAGTCAAGTCATGTGACTCGAGTCCCCCACCTCTGGTAATTTTGTCTTTTTTTCTTGTCTTCACCACCTAGCTACTGTTGTAAAATTCAAAGAGATTAAATAAAAAATAAATAAATAAATAAAAATTGCAACTGACGTCACTTGCGGAAGCGCAGGTGTCTGAGCGTGCAAGTGCCTGTCTGCTGCCGGACCCTTCTCCCTGTTAGAGCCACAACACTGACATCAGTTGTTTGCATGATGTGACTCATTTAATTGACTTATTAACCTGCTATGTTATGATCTTGTTAGTTTGCACATCTCATAAACTCCATATTACTTGATCACCTGTGTGCTTCCAGTGGTCTTAGGATGAACGGAAGCTTTTAATGTCATTGGTTAAACATTATTTACACACAGAATTCATTAACAGATTATTAAATTAATTAGCATGAATCTTTCCAGTCACCTTTAGCTCACTCACTGGAGGGTTAGTTTTAATGTTTTTGTAAAGCTGCTTTGGAAAAAGTTGCTCATCATCATTCCGTCTACATTCACATCTATCTGTACAGTGAAGGAATTTCTAAAAGCAGATGCACACAAGGAAGCGATCCGTTCAAATAAATATCTTCATGTCACATGAGAAAATGATTTAAGTTAGTGTAGAGAAAATATTTCAGGCTCTAGTACAGGCCCACCCACAGTTATTAAAGGCACTGTAAGATCGTGAGAGCTGCAGATCATCATCACTGTATTCAGCTGCTGAAGAGAGAATCTCCCTGAGT